TTACCTGGTATATCGTTTTAATATTTCTTCATGACTTAGACCTACTTTTATACGTATGGACACTTTTATAAAAATGATATATATATTTTTTAAAGTTATGTAATTTATGTTTCAATTTTTTTAATAGTGTTTCATGTTTTCCACCTACAATATTAATTTAATAATTTCATTTACACAAAAAATTATTTGATTATTTGATATTTTATAAAATATTATTTAGAATTTAAATTTAACAATATTAACCAAAGATAATAATAAATATGTTTTCCACAGTAAAATAAGTATGTACACTTTTATAAAAATGATATATACTTTTTTTAAAGTTATGTAATTTATGTTTCAATTTTTTTTAATAGTGTTTCATGTTTTCCACCTACAATATTAATTTAATAATTTCATTTACACAAAAAATTATTTGATTATTTGATATTTTATAAAATATTATTTAGAATTTAAATTTAACAATATTAACCAAAGATAATAATAAATATGTTTTCCACAGTGAAATAAGTATGGACACTTTTATAAAAATGATATATACTTTTTTTAAAGTTATGTAATTTATGTTTCAATTTTTTTTAATAGTGTTTCATGTTTTCCACCTACAATATTAATTTAATAATTTCATTTACACACAAAATTATTTGATTATTTGATATTTTATAAAATATTATTTAGAATTTAAATTTAACAATATTAACCAAAGATAATAATAAATATATTTTCACAGTGAAATAAGTATGGACACTTTTATAAAAAGGATAGATACTTTACAATATAACAGGTAAAAATATGACAAAAACCAGATTCATTATGACAAAACCGGTCAAATTTACTTGATATGTTAAAAGTATGGACACTTTTATAAAAAGGATAGATACTTACCGATAACCAAAGTTTACCGGTTACCAAATTTTTTAATAGTTTTTCATATTTTCTACCTAAAACATTATTAGTTGTCAACATAATAGGTACCGCTAAACCGAATTTATTAAATACATTTTAATGTATCCGGTACTGCCGTATATTAGCTGTATATTAACCCACCTTTCCTGAGACAATCCCGCTGCTGTTAGCTATTCCATATTTTTATTTCAGTGTTTCGGGACTTCGGCCTTCGTTAGAAAAGAGTGCTTAGACGGCACAAAATAATTACTAAAAATTATAAGAGATTTTAAGTGAAGTAGAATTACATATAAATTTTTTAATTACATTAAAAATGTAATTATTTATTACTAATTATACATTATTAATTACAATTTAAAAAAATGTAATTCTTTATTACTAATTATAAATGATATCCTTAATTTTCAACATTACTATAAGACTTGAAGTGTGTATTTAGATATTTTACTTCTGTTGAATAATAAATTTGTAATCTAAAGAACGGAAAGTTCTACATTATGGCACCCTTAATATATAACTAAAAAAAGATGTTATCGGTTTTGTTATTATTTAAATAATAAAATCGGTAAAAAATTACCTAAAATATTATTATTTCTACCTAAAACATCAAAGTTTTTTAACATTTCCGATAAAGTGCTCAACAATAACAAAATCGGTAGAAATAATAATATTTCCGGTAATTTTTTACCGGTTTTATTATTTAAATAATAACAAAACCGATAACATTTTTTTAACCGTATATTAAAGCTATAGCACGTGATCATTTCCCCTAAAGACCAAGTTAGAGATATCTTGATATATTTATAAAATAAGAGTCAATAATTGAGGAATGAGAACGTTTGCCCTAGTGTTATCCTTCCTATGAAGCTTCACGTGGTTCTTTTTCTTGAATATTTTTCTCTCCCTTTAATATTTTTTTAAGTTTTAAAAGAAGATTCAAATCCAACCTTTGTAAATCAATTAATTGGATTTGATTTCAGCAAATATAAACAATGTCCACAAAAACCGTTCAATAATCGACAAGGATTTGATTTCTAACATTATTCTATACATGTTTTTTTTTGCTTAATCCATTGGATTAGTTGGCGAACAAGAGATTAAACTCCACCAACCGACATAAACACATTACATTCATAATTAAAAGCTTATAATTAGGGGGAAATGTGGTGTTTTGGAGAGCTCTAAATCTTACGGATTTTGAATTGGATTTAGTATATCTTTGATTCAATCGTATATGCATGCATACGGGTATTGCCATGAAAGTTCCTTCACTGTCCGAAACATATTTTTCCATGGTCAAAATGACAATGTCCCAACACCAACTCTTCTCTACAAGCAAATCAAATTATTGGGTATTGATTTAAAATTACAAAGGAGACGGGTTCATTGTATACACAAGGTTTTTATTTTCTTTTGGAAAAAAAAAAGAGGGCATTAATGATAAATGCATTCATATCATGCACCAATGTGGATCCTTTTGTTTTATGTTATACATTCATGTTTTGGGTTGATATCACGTCTAATCCGTACTCAAGATTACGTGGATGATAACAAATAATAAAATAAACTTTTGGTTTAATTTTAATCAAATAAAAAATCATTTAGATTTCATCATATTTTTTTAAGAGTAAATGAGACTGGTACTAATACATCAGTTCATTATGCGACTATAAGGGGGTTCAGAAACATCTCTTGTTAAAATTTCTAGCAAGTCAGGAGGCAAATCGAAAATCGGGAGAGATCTTATTAGAGTAAGTTAACTTCACTATGAAATCAGCAGCCGCATTTGCCACCGACGAATCAGATTAAAATCTACTAACCAAGTCTTATTGCAAAGAGAGGAGACAGATCTTATCAGAGAAAAAGAGCTCTCTAGTGAGAGCGGAGAAAGAAGCTCGTGAACATTCTTACAATTAGATAATTCATTCAATGCAAGTTTTATGCATTCGTAAACACCCCAAAGCTCAACATGAAATACTGACAATACACCAAGATGCTTATTAAAAACTATAATAAAACAGTCTGTACGATATCGTAATACTCCACCAGCCGCCCCGACATTTGAAACACGGGAGACAGCACCGCTACTGTTCAGACATATCCAACTTGGACAAGGTAGTTTCCATCGAATAGATTCAATGGGAGCAGACATGAAGGTACCTATATTTAGTCGAGGAGCATAATAAATCTTCTTGCGAAATTGTACAGGATCGAAAGATTGACGAATTCCGATTCGTCCAGACTTGCCACACAATGGAAGAAAACAGAATCTTCCATGGAACCCCAAGCTCAGCACAGAAATGATTAGATTTAAGTAAATACTAATTTTATTATGTCTAAAAAATCCCAAAAGGTAATAAATTTCTCCAATCAAAATTTTAAATTATTGTATTTTTGAAATTTCAAATAGAATTATTAAAATATTATATTGTAACCGTTCTAAACTATTTAAAAAATTAAACTGAAGACTTCAATTAAGTTAAGAGAAACATTTGTTAATTAAACATTTTCACTTATTTTTAATCGAAAATGGAAGAAAAACTTCACGCCATTACTATAAATCACTATTATAATTAATGCTACAAGCATTTATATCATTTTTTATACAAAAGCAAAAACTTTGAATTTTTTAAGGTTAAAATTTAAAAGTATAAGTTTTGATATAATGTCAAATAATATATATAACCTTCAATATGATACTAATTTATATATAGAGGGTAAAGTATATAAATAGTCCCCAAACTTTTAGAGCACTTGCATTTTGGTCACCCAACTTTTAAAACTTACAATACAACCATTAAACTTTTAATCATTTTCACTAAGGTCCCTGTCGTACTCTCCCGTTAGGTTTTCTTGACATAGCACTTAATTCTCCTCCTCTCCTCCTCCTCACAACCGAATGGGCTTTGTTCGGAACGAAGATTTGAGGCCCTCTCCAAAGCAAGCAGAGGTGAGTTTCGACGAGTGGCTAACGAGGTTTTGGTCGGAATAGGGCAATGCTCCTATTGGTACCGGCGGTGACTATCACTGACGACAGAGATCAAAAATGGATGTTCGAATAATTTTCTCTCAATTTGGGACAAACAATGGACGGTGAGTATGAATCGAGGGTCAGGGTGTGATCGGAAGGCAACGTCGGTGATGGCGGTGTGATCCACCGTTGACCGCAGGTGTGGTGAACGGGAGAAAAAAAAAGAAAATGAAGAAGAAGGGGGAGGGGTTAACGACAGTTAAGTGCCACATCATCAAATGGTTACAATAAGGACCTTACTACAAATAATTAAACGTTAGGTGACCAAAATGCAAGGACCTCTAAAAGTTAGATGTCTGTACTACAAATTTCAAAAATTGACTGACCAAAATGCAAAATATCCTAAAAGTTCGTGAACTATTTATATACTTTACCAATAATTTTAATTTTATTATTAGTTGATTTCAGCGTTTATTCCAGATGATTATGAACATCGAAAAGAAAAATTAAAGCCCAACGTATGTTCCAAAACCTACTCAAAAGTAAAATTATATCGTTTTGACCCAGGTAGGTCTCGAACATTTATTAACACAACACTCAAACCAACGAACTAATAAACCTAAACATTAAGCACAAATTACGCTTGTGAAGTATTCCTTGTTGTCAGTATAATAATTTTAGTTCCTGATTAGAAGCATGACTTCCATTAGTACATTTTGTTCAAATTATTAGTTTAAATATTTCATTAGGAGCATAGATTATCACTAATTCCGGTTTTGTAAACAATTGATAGATATTATAAACAAAGGTTTATAGAGTCATAATGTGTTTCAAAGAAGAGAAAGCAGCTCAGAAGTGCTTGAAATTTATTATAATTAATCAGAGGTAAAATCCTCATTTGGTAAAACATTATTAAATCATCGCTGCTTACCCTTTTACATCCAAAAAAACCCAGAATTCATGCTCAAATCCATTTCTTATGGATTAATTCATATAAAATTTGCAAATATAAGTGATTACATTTAAACCAAATCAAACATTGCTTTGATAACAAACTTTTTCTTCTAAGAGAGAGAGAGAGAGAGAGAGAGAGCGAGAGAAATCTAAGATTTTTTACAGGCATTCAGAATGAGTAGGAGGTTTCAAATCATCATGATAATCAGATAATGTTTGAATAAATTGATCCTCATCATGCCTGTATGAGAATTACATTTAAAAATGAAGGAAATTCCTGGGTTTTTTTAAAAAGAAAGACAAAACAAAAGGAAAAAGGATTTCTTTCAGACAAATGCCTCGAATTGTCGTCACGATTTGAAAGAATGGAAAAGATCGGACTCGTCATCTGTTTCGATCATCACTAAGAAACCCATTACCAAGTAAGCAAATTAAACGATTTAAACTCTAAAAACAGCTAAATTAAAGAGTACAGAAGATGAGGAAATTAGTAGTGTCTATGCATATATCTGAGAAATTACAAAGATAACAGTGGAACAACGGAGCGGCTGGCTTTCTTTTATAGGCTAAAAGTCATCTAGGGTTTAGGGTTTACTTCGTGGGTTCGATTTTACCCTCCAAATTTGACAAATATATTAAAATAGCCATTGGGTTTAGCTCACATATGTCCCCTCCTAGGTTCCTTCTAAGGCCCAAGCCCAACATTCGAAATTTCATTTTTCTTTTACCCATGGATCCAGAATTTGAGCTATGGATGAAGGAAGAATAAGATTTTAAGTCCAACACTTTATAATTAAAACATGAAATATCACACAAATATAATCTCAGACAATTTTTTCAAACCTTCTCCAATATTAGATAATTTTTATGATTCTAATATTCAAACAAAGCAAATAGATGTATCTTCCACAAGGAATACTACCACTTCTAAGCGAAAGGGACGCAGGAATTTGTGTAATGAGATACAAATATAAAAAAACTTGTGTTAAAAATTTAAGAGAGTGAGACTATAAAATCTCATGGAGTATGAAATTAAATAATTCATATAAAATACGAGAAAAATACCTAAAATATAAGGAAATTTAAATTTTCTATAGGGTGCAACCGCACCCTCCAACACCCCTATCGGTATATCCCAGCTTCTAAGTTCAACCACAAGTAGCTACTAGGACATTTACTTTATTAGGTGGAAAGGTATTTATAATCTTTGTTAAGCATTGCAGTAGGCAAAGCTTGAAACAAACAGAATACCATAAAATATATTTCATTAAGCGTGAGTTATACATCACCTAGCCTTAGCTTCTTATAGCAATTTCATAATAAACTTTAACAAACTACTGCTTCTAGAATAGTTTCCTAACAGCCTTGACACTTCGCACGTGGATAGCACCCTCATCTTCCTTATGTATATCAACATTCTCCCCGCTTCTTCTTCTTCTCCTCTTCTGACCATGAACACACTTGCACTCAAATCTTTCCACAAATCACTTCAAATGCTGCTTGATGAAAAAAAAACTAATTACAACTAATTTCTAACATTCAATCTTCTTGATGAAAAGATGAACAATTAAATCGAAAGTGCTTATGCTTCCTCCCGTTCACTTGAATTGAAAGTGTCGATGCTTTATTCCGTTCACTTGAATCCAAAGTGCTGATGCTTCCTTTCGTTCTTCTTATTTACCTTCATTTCTTTCCTCTTCATCCTCTTTTACAAGGTTCCTTGACGTTTTTTTAGCGAATATACTAATCTAATTGCAATATCAAATTAAGAGTAAATCAAAAGAAGAAGAATAGATCTAAGAACTGGTAAATTTGGTAACCGCTTTGGTTCCTTCAGAGACCGTGTGTTTAGCCAATTCACCAGGCAAAACCAAAGATATTGACTGCACCAGAATGATTCACAGCTTCTAGAGCAGAAGCTTGAGCAACGTTAATATTGATGCTCATGCCATAAAATCGGTCAAAACTTTGCTGCTAAAGCTCAACATCAAGAAGACTCGACACAACGCCATCAAATGTGACAGGGTCTCGGCTAACGGTAACCACAACGACGAACGAATGGTATTCATTTGGTAACCCACTCAAGATTATAGGAACCTTCTCGTGCTTGAACACCAGACTCCCATACGCGGCCAAAGTGTCACAGATTTCCTTGACTTGCGAGATATAAGAACGCATGCTCAGCTCTCATTTCTTAACCGCTTTCAACCGGTAATCCAGATTCTTTATGGTAGTGGTGGATTTACTCGTAAAAAATTTGTATACGACTGACTAAATCTCCGTCGCATACTCTGCAACAGCTTCTCCAATCAGTGATTACAAACAACGAGAAGAATCTGATGTTTCCTCAACAAGAAGTTGAGTTCATCAAGAACGATACTAATCTTCTTGTTAGTGAACAACTTGGAGTGAACCATCGTTTCACCACTGGAGGTCGTCGTACCCTCAGAACTAGCTCCATGAACCATGTTGTGAGTGAAAGAATAAAAAACGGAAGCACCAGGAAGTACCAGAATCGACGGCGAATGATACCATGGTAAGCATTGCAGTAGGCAAAGCTTGAAACAAACAGAATACCATAAAATATATTTCATTAAGCGTGAGTTATACATCACCTAGCCTTAGCTTCTTATAGCAGGTTCATAACAAACTTTAACAAACTACTGCTTCTAGAAAAGTTTCCTAACAACCTTGATACTTCGCACATGGATAGCACCCTCAGCTTCCTTATGTATCTCAACAATCTTAAAGTAAATATTGGTGTTTGAACCCATACAAGATAAAATAATATAAATATCTTAATCACTAATCAAGAGGTAGTTTCATCTTTCGAGAATTGAAACCTCCAAAGTTTTATAAAGTCTTCGGAATTTTACATCCTAGTAATTAATAGAATATTGGCGTGATCTTTGACAAACCAACGTGCTCTACCAGAGTAAAATCTATTATTTGACAATAATATCTTTTATGATTATCAGCTTATGAATAATCATCGCCATCTTAGACTTGACACCAAAATTAAAAGCTGGTATATAAGTAGTCATGCAAGGCTGGTAAATTGACATTTTCTCCCTCTCCGACTCTTTCTCTCTTCCCTTAAGCCTTCTTTCACACTCTATTGATCTTTTAAATAGGATGATATCAATCATATAGAATTTTACGATGAAACCACTTGTTACGATTCTTTGTCCAAATTAAAAAGGATGAATCATATATAACCGTCTCAACCCAAATGTTAATGTTATACCTCCTCCAAATGTCTACTTGCATCAACACCTCATTGTCATTAAATCACTTTTTTCGAGTGTCGAGACATTCAAAATTTCATGCCTTTAGGGCAATTAACATTCTCTTAATATGACCTATGGCAAACTCACATAATTTTCAACAACAAAATATACTTATATTTATATTTTTTTATGAGTGTAAAAGTCCGTGTAAAAGAGGTCATGCGAGGATGATGAAGGGACCATTTCTCCTTATCAGGCTTTTTCTTTCTCTCCTTCGAGCCTTGTCTCACATTATTTATATCTTCTAAATCAGACGGTATTGATTGTACAATTGGCGTAAAAACGCATCTCCGGGGACGTGTTTTCACGGGATTCTGATGACTCGGATGCCACGTGTGGAAGGCGCATCCCCGGGGACGCGCCTTCCATTTGGGTTCTGCTGAGTCAGATGCCACGCTGGTATTTCTTTTAATAATAAAGATTTTATTTTTATTATTATTATAAATAATTAATATGTTATGTAAAGTGTTTCGATTATAATTTAAGAATTATCGAATGTATTTTTTAAATGTATGAAATTACAATATTACACGTATTGTTATATATCTATTTTTTTATTATCGATCTATTAATTTTATCAATTAATTATTTAAATGTTATCAATCTAGTCATTTGTTATCAATATTTAAAGAAAATATTGATGCATAAGTTAAAAAAATTAGTATAATTACACATTTAATATTCAATAGTTACATATTTTATCAATTTAGTCTTACTTTTAATTTGTTTAATTTAACATTTTTTCTCTACTTAGAAGGTAGAATTATTATAATATTTTAAAATTAATAATTAATTTTTTTATAATAAATATTATAATGTCTGGAGATATGGTCAGTATCTAATCGCAGCAACATTTCACTTTCCATTATAACTGTAGACAAAAAAATATAATTAGCACAAAATATAATTAATTAATAAATTTAAATAAATAATAATTATATAAATATTATTTTAATAAAAAATAATATTTATATAATTATATTACTATAAAATATAAAACATTTTAAAAAATACTAACTTAAAAATAAATTTCTTACCACTAATAAAAAAATTAAAACTCAAATAGTTAGAGAATTTAAGTTATATAAGAGAGGAGAAGATAATTTTGGTGTGAAGAATGAGGTAGGGTTGAGGGAGTTTATATAAGGGAGGAGGAGGGGTAGTTGGGGAAAAACGGATGGGGGCATTTATGACATTTAATGGAAGGCGCGTCCCCGGGGATGCGCCTTCCACACGTGGCATCCAAGTCATCAGAATCCCGTGAAAGCGCATCCCCGAGAATACGCTTTTGTGCCACGTCAGCCAAAGGGTGCTACTTCGAGAATATTAGTCAACGGGTGTTCAAAAAAGAATATTACAGACAAAATGTGTCAGTTAAGTAAATGTGCCTTAACTCACGCTCAAAAAGGTTATTGTACTGTCCCGCCATTAAAGGATCAGATCTAATACCTTTTGAATTTGGGAACTTCTACTTTGTCGCGTTTAAAAAACGGTTAAAAAATGGTGTGATCTGTTAAATAAATGATCGGTTAAAATTTAGATCGATTATATTATATCATTTAACCAAAAATATTATTAAGTACAATAATTTATTAGGTAGCACTTATATTGACTTATTTTCTAACTAAACAAATAACATTGTAAATTTACCTATTACATTATAATTATCGGTTTTGATGTTTTTGGGATTGATGCAATTTTAAATGCATCAACACTTTATGCGTTCACCTCGTTATGCTTTCATTTTGGGGAAAAAATATCGACACATATTTAAATAGTGTCGATACATAATGTAAACCTATTTGCTAATTAACCGTTATATTTTTACCGGTTACATTTTAAATTTACCTGTTTCTGGATTTTTGTTCTTTGAGAAACTGATAACATGATAAGTTTCCCAATGTTATTATTTTGTTACTGCAAAGTTTTTGTTATTATTTTACTTGGTTTTGTTTAAAATATCCAACTTTTTGTATTAAAAAAATGAAAAATTTTGAAATAAAAATGACCACACAAGCATATTTTTTTACTACCGGTTTTATCATTTCGAGACCGATTTTGTCATATTTTTACCTGTTATATTGTTATGGATCGATACATTTTTATAAAGTATCGACACTTTATTGGAGCTATAACTTCTTTTCTTTTAAATTCCAAAAGTGTCGATACTTATAATAAAGTATCGACACTTTCAACATATCTAGTAGCTCTTTACCGATTTTGTCATTTCGAGACCGGTTTTTTCATATTTTTACCTGTTATATTGTTATGGATCGATACATTTTTATAAAGTATCGACACTTTATTAGCGCTATAACTTCTTCTCTTTTAAATTCCAAAAGTGTCGATACTTATAATAAAGTATCAACACTATCAACATATCTGGTAGCGCTTTACTTGTTTTGTCATTTATAGACCGATTTTGTCATTTTTTTTACCTGTTATATTGTTATGGATCGATACATTTTTATAAAGTATCGACACTTTCAATATATCCGGTAGCGCTTTACCTATTTTATCATTTATAGACCGGTTTTGTCATTTTTTACCTGTTATATTGTTATGGATTGATACATTTTTATAAAGTATCGACACTTTTAATATATCCTGTAGCGCTTTACATGTTTTGTCATTTATAGACCGGTTTTGTCATTTTTTACCTGTTATATTGTTATGGATCGATACATTTTTATAAAGTATCAACACTTTCAATATATCCGATAGCGCTTTACCTGTTTTGTCATTTATAGACCGATTTTGTCATTTTTTACCTGTTATATTGTAATTGATCAATATATTTTTATAAAGTATCGACACAAACCGACAAACTAAGTTTGCCGGTTGTTAAATTTTTTAATATTTCTTCATGATTTCCACCTATTACATTATTATTACTCGATATTTCCGTTAGCGCTAAATCGAATTTATCAAATATCTTTTAATGTATCCGGTAACATTTGTATATTAGTCCGCCTTTCATGAGACAATCCCCCTATAAACTCTAAGGTCAGAGCTAAAAAAATGAACAAATGAACATTTTTCTTGTAATCATAGTTTTGACTCTATAATTCACCTCTCTTCATCGTCGAAAAGTAATTATTTTTCGCTCTTGATACTTCCAATTTCTAAGACTTAGTTTGTTTTGGTTGTGCAACATCTTCAAATTTTTTATGTTCGTGCCGCGTAGACCGCACACAGATATTAGGTTTCGTAGACCGTTTGTTTTTTAAAAGACAGAAACTCTTCAAACGTCTGCGCGAGCTCTTCTTGGTGCAGACATAGTTTTATATCTTCAAAAGTCTGCAGGAAAATTAAAATCATTTAAATCTATTTTAAAATTTATTTTAAAATATAGATTGATTTATTTTAAAATATGGATTGATTTATTTTAAAATATGGAAAAATTATTTTAAAATATAGATTGATTTATTTTAAAATATTGATTGATTTATTTTAAAATATAGATTTATTTATTTTAAAATATGAAAAATTTTATTTTAAAAAATGGATTAATTTATTTTAAAATATGAAAAAATTATTTTAAAATATGGATTGATTTATTTTAAAATATAGATTGATTTATTTTAAAATATGAATTGATTTATTTTAAAAAAATTATTTAGTTGTATGAATTATTTAAATTTCAGTATTATAAAACTAAAATTATTTAAATTTTAGTATTGTAAAACTCTTAAGTTTAAAAATTCAGTTTATTTTATATTTCAGTTTATTTTAGCAGTCTGCAGACGTTAAAAACAAACAATATTCTTCTTGTAAACTGCAAACTTTTGATCTACCTCTTCTACTATAGATATCTACAAATGTAATTCACAGACTACAAACATTTTACCTCTTCAAAAATAAACATCACCTCTAACACTCCAAAGGCAAATGCAGAAGTGCCACAAACAAAATTAAAGCTTTTGTCCCCGAAAAAAAAAAAAGGAAAAAGGTTAACACAGGCAGGGCATTCCCACCTCCATAATGCCTAAAAAGACGAGCAATAAACCAATCAATAAAATTGATATAAATATAAGGAATTAAAAAAAAAAAGAAATTTAAATACATATATTTGTAGAATGCCAAATTAAAGTAATTATTTGAAAGCTCTATTGTTGATGATGGTGGTTTGATTGATCAAGTTTTCCTCTTCGCGTCTCCGTGACCGTTGATACATGAGAATCACAAACTTGTGTCTTGAACTTGCACCCAAACCTCTTACTCAACGATTCTTTCCAACTACCGCCACGTGGACCTCCCTTCTCTATCTGTCGAATCACCTTTTTCATCGTCAAACATTCCCTTTCCAGCTGATGCACCCGCGTCCTCATGCTATCCATGTCCAGTCGCATCACCTGATTCTGCCTCACCGCCGCTCTCCACTTGTTACCCCTCCTTCTCCCTTGCTCCCCTCGTAACAACGACGCCGCTGTCCCCTCCTCCTCCGTCTTTTCTTCTTCTTCTCTCCTAATCTCCAACGCTCTTCCTGCAATCAACGGCGCCGTTTCTGCCGCTATCGATGTCCCGGCAATCGCGTGACGTAACTGTAACTGCTCGAAAAACACGACTTGAACAACTAAGCGTAGTGGTAACCGCTCGTTTTGTGCCGCGTGTGTGCACGCTTCTAGCGTTAGCTTTTGACAATTTAATACTCCACATAACTTTTCCCGCTCCGATTCTGGAATCCAAGGATGCGCCTGCCAAAAAACAAAGAGCTTAACTAACTATCTTTGTTATTGATTCTTAAGATTTAATCGTTTTCATTTGCAAATAATAGCCTAATTGTACCTTGAGGTACATATCTACAGCTCTGTAAAGTCCATCATCGAAGTTTCTAGCTTGGTCAGGAACGGAAATGGCGAGATTATAAAACTTATCCGCCTTCAAATTCGCGTCGGATGCGATCTCCGAAAGGTAACCGTCGATTAGTTTTCCGACAACCATCAACGCCGACGGTCTTACGCTATTATTATTGACAATAATATTGTTGCCATTAGCTTCGGTTCCTTCGGCGGTTCTCTCCTCCAATCCGTCCAAAAAATAACCTAAAATCCTCTCAATGCAATCAATATCGTAGAGCGTTTCGTTTAGATACGAGTAGCTCGGCATCAACAAATCGTCTAATGTAGCTTGCTTCAGCTGAATCCCGATCTTTTTCTCTAACGCGGCTTTGCTAGATTCCGATGCATTTAAAATGTTGGCGGTTCGTAACAAACCGAATAAGAACCGCGTCGCGGTTGATGAGCGAGAGTGGCTCTTTTCTAACGGCAGGTTCGAGATGATAGTTTCCAAAAGTTCTCTCTGTTCACTCTGTGAAACAACAGAGACCGACGAAGACGGTGATTTCCGATTCGACCGCGTTGTTCCTGGAATGTGCTTCTTGGCATAAGATATAAGGCATCTTTCCATGATATCAGGACCCAGATGTCGCGTTTTCAACGTTAAAATCAAGCGTTTAAACAACGGTAAACTCAGCAATGCCATATCTTCAAACCAGGACTCTATATTGTTGGTTCGAGCTAGAGCTTTTCTTCTCAAACTGGTTTCGATTCCATTCCATAAAGCATGGCTCGAGGCGCCTTTGGCTTCGATGATTCCGTCATTCACTGGCCAGCCAAACAGAGTCGGATCGGCAGAAGAAGCTCTCACAGCGATAGAATCAATCAGTCTCTGAACAATGTCCAAAGATTCCGCTAAGGACATGACTGATTCGCATGATTTAAACGCTTTGATCGATTCTTTAAGGCTTTTAAAAACGAATTGAGAAAGGAACCGATCGGTTTTGGAAATAAGGTTATCTTCGGAGTACTCGTCAAACATTTCCAGGAATTCGGCTGCGCAACGGAGAGAAACGATGGTAGAGGAGGAGAGATCGATCTTTACGCCGTAACAGAATTTGGCGGCAGTTTCAAAGGTTTCCGAACCACCAGGGAAATCGGGTAGAGATATTTGGCATTCGCCATCGTCTTCTTCTTCAACTTCTTCTTGACAATCCTCTTCTTCTTCAATTTCGGTCTCGGTTTCACGTTGCTTATGATTAGTAACGGTTGCAGTAGATGATTTCCGACCTTGCTCTGCTATTAACTGATCAAGTTTTCTACTTTTTGACATCAAAGGAAACTGGAAACAAAATCCAAAAAGGTATCATTAAACTGAATAAAAAAGTGACTGAAAAATACATGAAATTTTCGAAGCTTTACTAACCTTATGGAGATGAAAACTCATGTCACCGACTTCAATTACAACGTCACTAGGTAATCCAGTGGCACAAAACCTGTAAGCATAAATTAGAAAGAATAATTCTTTTTTTCTCGATGGATTGAAATATATTAAGTTCAAAAATTAAACCCGAACCATGCTTGGCCTTTAGAGGTAGGCTTTTCAGCTGCCATTTTCTTCTTCTTCTTCTTCTTCTTTGCTTGTTGAAGTTCAAAAGTTTCTGGCTGTTATGGAAAAAACTGAAGCAGATGCATAAAGGGCTCTTTGTTCTTTTTGCAGAGTTTCCAGTTTTTGAGAAGGGAGAATTCTCTGTGCTTTACTCGGTTGATAGGATTTGGCTTTTGAAATGGAAGACCGCTAGTGCTTGGAAAAAAATTGGAAAATGATAAATTAATAATTCAAAAGTTTATTTTCTTTTTCTTTAAGTTATTGTAATAATTTGTAATTTTTAAAATTCAGTAGCTCAATGTATAATTTTACTAATAAATAACTGATTTGTTATGTAATTAATCCAAAAAGGCTGATTATAAAGTTCTCGTTAAATATTCAAACTTTTTTTCTGTTTCATTTTTTTATCTTAGTTTTCTCATTGTAAAAATTTGAAAACTCATGTATGAAAACAACTGTACGGGGTTGGCTTCATTTATGGCAAACATTAATATGGTACCGTCTTCATTCTTTTGCGTGCACTTGTGATAACATTCAATATGGTAACTATAAAGGAATCCTAGCTACTTGGTTAAAATCACTCAACCACCATACATGAAAGTTGATATCTATGCGTAAGCAACAAAACGGTATCCTTCCCTTTTTTAACAAATTTTCTTTTATCAGGCTCAAAGGCATCAAACTTCCAAATTTGCAAATCGATGGCCATGTTGAGCTCTTTTCATGGTGGTCACGTAGAATATATTTGGTCAGCTTTTAGTCTTTTTACTTAGGGGATGTAAATGAATTAGATTTAAAAGAACAAGATTGTGATTGTATTCGTTTGTTTATTTTTCAAGATGTGCATGTTTAGTTCATGTTCGTTTAAGCTTTAATTATTGTATTCGTTTATTAATTTTTAAAGTGTTCATTTCGTTCGATTAGCGTTTGTAAATATTGTTGTTTATATGTTTAGAAATGTTCATAAACATAGTAAAATTACACAGTAGTCCTTAAACTCCTTGTACTTTATAGTTTGAACCCCAAAGTTCACTATATGTTCAATTTAATATCTAACTTCACCAATATTTAAAATATAAAAAAAATAAAAATAAAAAACAGGCAAGCTTTATTCGTGTTAGTTCGTTTATTAAATGAAAATAAAAAATTATTTTTATTTGTTTATTTAGTTTAACGATCGAGCATAAACGCACGTTATACAAACAATTTACAAACATTTCATCGAACACAAAGAATGAGTTCAAATTTTACTCCATTCATAACATAAATGACGTGAGTTCAAATTAATCTCAATAGTACAATCATTACATTTTAAATAATGAGTTGATCTTCTTTGGTTGTCTAAATGATAGAATGAGTGATACTCACCCAATAGTTAAACTACTAATAATAATATAATGATGATCAGATGATTATGGTAAGATGGGGGTGATGATGTCAAACAGGGGAATATGAACCCTAGCTTTGTTCAAAGCTGAATCCTCTGATAAAATAATTGCCTTTGAATGAAAAATTGAAAGATAGATTTCTAAAGGCCGAGTCTAAATATACCAATAAAATTAATAAATCCACCAACATTATTATTTTTTTATTAAAGTTTTCTTTATTTAATATGTAGTTAGTTTTTAGTGGGTTTTTATTTAATGGGTATTGAATTTTTAGTGGATGATTATTTAATAGGTAGTGAGTTTTTTAGATTAGATAATAATTAATAATAATAATAATGATAATAATAATAATATGAGACTGGGGGCGCACTACAAGACTCATCAGCCAACGGTATAACATTTATAATATAATATGCATGCATATTACTAAACCCAGATTACACTTTTGTTTCTCCATTTTTCACATGGTTTGACGACAAATCATTCGACAAAATGCTCAGAGGGTGGGTATAATGTTGAATTGTCACTTTCGGATCAAAAAGGCAAATATATACTATTTTTTTTAACAATGGAGACTTTGGTTTTAGATGTATGGAATCAATAATTCAGGGTGTGGGTCATATTGTTGTTTATTTGAGGGGACAGCTTCTTCCCACTACAAGAGAAATTCAAGGCTACCTTTAAATCATCATGTAATCTCTTTAAGATTTAAAAATCTCTTATGAAATTTGTTTTCTATTAATGCAACTTGTTGGAATTTGGAACTCATCACACAAGATGTTAACAAACTGAGGTTGAAAACACAAGGCACAAAATCCATGACTGAAGTACAAACTACCACCAAACCCCCATGGGGACTAGTGCGGTTCAGGAGAAAATATTTAATGGCACTATGCACAAGAGAGTAACTCTTCTGATTGTTTAATCCCTTAATTTATACGTTTAGTGTGAATATTCAGTCGAATTGAATTGAGTAAATAGATTTGAATTAATCGAGTTGATAAATATTATTTTATTATCTAAATTTTATATAATTTTTTTATGTGTATAGTCAAATAAATAATTTTAAATTATTTTTTAAGAAATCAAATTTTACTCTATCCTACGTACACCCGATAAAATTTACCTTCTTATCAACAAAACATTGACATAATCAGTTAGAATAACGTTCTTTATAACATAATAATCACTGTAAACACCCCCCATCCGATTTGTTTATTCATTGCTCTAAGCCAAAGGCTTCTGACAAGCATCGAAAGCAGTTCTGAAGAAGATTTCTGTTTGCCTGAAAAGAAAAGAGAAAAAAAACTCCAAATAATTATTTACTGTAAAAAAAAATTCATGTTGTAATCAAACAAACTGTGAGTCGGTTGACAATAACGTTAAGCTCGGATTTGTTGGTTTGTTGTCACTTGCAAAATTTGCATGTTTCCGGGTTCAGTTTTTCATCCTCAACGTTGATCACGTTAGTCTGACAAATCTTTTAAATTCCAACACTGAATAAAAGATTGAGAAGCCATTTTTTCCAATAAATGCAGATCATGACGGAGTTGCAGTTGCCGGTGTTGAATGGGGGTGGCAAAGCCACGCCATGATCGGCATATGCCTTCATGCATCAAAGGGTGTTTGCCCCACGACTACCCCCAGCAGTATTTTCCAACATATTAATGCTTGCAATCGTTTTTCCTTTAGATCGACCAACGAACAATACTTCATTCAAATTTAGAAGATAGTTCAGGTGGCGGGGACATTAGATAAAATACTACAGTTCACAACCGCGAACACAATCGCAATATAGTATCATGAGAGGAACGCTTTCATACTGCGGACAAAAATATTGGAAGTGTTGGTTCAGGCGGGAGCCGAGTTTCTCGCTGTTGTAGTGGCTACTGCTACTGTAAATGGGGTTTTAGGGCCCGAGACCCAAAAATTTATATTATATGTACAGAGTTATTCGAATCCAAAACTTATTATACACTTTAAAACTTGTATATGTTGAAGTTAAATTTACGTTTAAATTTTTTTTTCAATGTATGTGCAATTCATTCCATATATATAAGAAAGGATTATACAAAAGATTGGTGTTTAAATTATACAAACTCTCTTTAGAGGTGTGTGACCAACGAAAAATTAGTTCACGAACCCTTTTCATCACGTTATCAATGGTTCCAGCCAATTAAATAAATCTATGTCAATCTTTTTTTTTCCGATGTCATTTGTACATACAAATCTTATTTTTCAAAATTAAACTTAAAATTCGGGACTATTTTTAGAATCTTCATTAATGCTCTTTTCTTCTCCACTTAAGTGTCTTACAGTACTTATATCAATGGAAATGGAAGCTCGACGCGGGTCGAAGACACCATATCAGCTTGTACCAGTGCCAGCGTGATTTGCAGAATGCTAACTGCTCAAGATGCATGCAAAGTGCGTCCAGACTCTAACTACGCTTCTTTACAACTAAAAGGCTGCTATTTGAGATACGATCATAATAATTTTCTGAGATTCCTCATACAAGCCTGAAGTTAAAAAAATACAGCAATTAATCTAATTCTCATGTTTTGAAATTTAAACTAAATATGATAACTATTAACTTTTCATTAATATTTTAAATAAATTAAAAGGAAAAAATAGAGTTTAAGTGAAAACGTGAAGAAACCATGACAGAAGTATAGGAAAATCATGACGCTTGATGATTTCAATTTCATGGTAGAAGATTTATACTCAGCCTTGATATGTGCTGTTGAAGAAGAAAAGAAAATTAGGAAGATCCTAAAATTAATCTCTAAATTTAAGTTTAATTGTGAAATGAGAATTTGATTTGGAAAAAAATTATGTGAATAAATGACAAAAAAAGATTAACATGTATTTTATTTTTTAATTAGTTGGGACTATTAATGATGTGGTAGAAATTGTGAATGAAATAATTTCTTGCGTTCACCTTAAATTCAGGGAAATCGTTTGCTTTTAATAAAAGGCTAACAATAATCAGATATATACATGCACATGGCCTTTTAATGGGTTCCCCATTTTTACAGGTTCAATTCTATTTCTTTCTCATCATTCCAGTTAAATATGGCCTTTTTATTTTATTTTCATTCTGTTTAATTACCTTTAACATCGACTCGTTCGTTTGCATGGAATCCCTCCAGTGTAAAAGAAGGGATGGTGGTGGCATATTCTTTGAAGAAACAGTCGCCGGTTCCCAACAGTTTGGTCGGCTAAATCGTTCAATCACCACCAAAGATGACGGCCGAGATTATCCGTCAATAGCCATCGGCGACGGCACTCATCACAATGGCTCATCGGTATCTCCGTTGCAAAAATCTCCATGGTCATGTCATGTAGGCAAAGATTTGAGTTCTTCTGAAGTTGATCAAAACACCAACAGCAACACCAACTTCACGCCTAACGTATTAATGGGTTCATTGGTACGTGAAGAAGGGCACATATATTCATTGGCAGCCTCGGGGGATATGTTGTACACTGGTTCAGAAAGCAAGAATATTAGGGTTTGGAAGAACCACAAGGAATTTTCGGGATTTAAATCTCACAGCGGATTGGTGAAAACCATCATCATCGCCGGAGGAAAGATCTTTACGGGTCATCAAGATGGGAAGATCCGAGTTTGGAAGATTTCGAAGAAGAACCCGAGTGTTCATAAACGAATCGGGACATTGCCCAGATTTAGAGATTACTTGAAGAAATCAATGAAGCCTAAGAATTACGTTGAAGTGAAGAACAACCGTTGCGGTGTATGGCTCAAACATTGGGATGCTATATCGTGCCTTAGCTTGAACGAGGACCAAACGTTGATTTACTCGTCTTCGTGGGACAGAACATTCAAAGTTTGGAGGGTTTTGGATTCGAAATGCTTGGAGTCCGTTCGATCCCACGATGATGCAGTGAACTCCGTCGCGGCAGGATTCGACGGGTTGGTTTTTACGGGCTCGGCGGATGGGACGGTCAAGGTATGGAGGAGAGAGTACCCAGGGAAAAGAACCAAGCATTTCTTTTCACAGACATTGCTGAAACAAGACTGTTCTGTCACGGCATTGGCTTTGAGCCCGGATGCTACGGTTGTTTACTGTGGCTCGTCGGATGCGTTGGTTCACTTCTGGGAACGTGAAAACCAATTCTCTCACGGCGGAGTTTTGAGAGGCCATAAACAGGCCGTTCTCTGCTTGGTTGCCGCCGGGAAGCTTGTGATCAGTGGGTCAGCTGATATGGGGATCTCTGTGTGGAAAAGATCAGGGAAGGAGCATTTTTGCTTGTCGATTTTAACCGGACACAGCGGTCCGGTTAAGTGCTTGGCGATAGAAAAGGATCAGGAATCGACATCGGGTGAAGTACGATGGATTCTTTACAGTGGTAGCCTCGATAAGGCGGTTAAGATGTGGCGCATATCGGAGCTAGCACTGCCGATTAAGCAAGACCAGCTTCGGTCCGATAGCAAATGTATTCCCTCGTGGCAGTATTAGCTATCAAAATCTTTTTGACATTTAATTTCTCAACGTGTATGATAAACATGTACAAAACTTTTGCTTGATAGAAATTGTTTGCATTTACGACACCGAACTTTGACATTTTTCTATTGTTGACGAAATATATATAGCGAACCCGAACATGCCTAGTCATAACCGAGTAGCTTGGAGGCAGATAGGCTTGGCCTGTAGCGAAAGCCTATCATGGATGGTTAAAATCTCTTCGGCCATTTCCGAATTACCCCACCGCCAAACCTTTATGGGATCCTAGTCTAGGACTAAACACGGGTCCATACTTTTGAGACAAGGCATACAGTGTTCGGTAAGGTATTTCCTTGCTGCTAAAGAGGTGGAGGTGGCCGATGACGGGCCAAGCACCACCGGCTTCAGGCACACTGCCGCTCTTTTGCCTGGAGCTGATAAGTTTCTTTAATTTAATCAAATTGAATTAAAGATTTGTGATCTAAATGAAAATCAAAGTTAAATCTGATGATCTAAAAGGTAAAACTACCCTAAGAAATTCCTGTTGGTTTTTGGCAAAAGTCCCACATTGGTTGTGTATAAGGAGGAGGGGAAATTCTTTTGTTATAAATAAAGCCCTCCTCCTCCTTAGTTAATCATCCCACAAATATAAGCCTTCTTCTATTTTAAAGGCTATTTGTATTCTTTCTCTCTTTGTAATATTTCCTCTATTAGTGAAATATTTTGGTGTTCTCTTTTATGTCTATTTAATAGCTATTGTCGGGTATAGTTGTTGTCAATTATTGTCCTATTAAAATTACTTGTCTTGGTAGTTCTGTCTAAGGAAAGTGGGTTTTAAGAGGGACCATTGTGACCCCTCCTCTTTCCTGGGAATCTACCTTGGGGTGATTTTTAGTACAATCGTTTTCACACTAGTCACCTAGATAATAGTTTTCACGGTGAATCTGTTATTGGTGGAAATTAACCCGAATTTCACAACAATTGGTATCAGCGCTCTTGGTTTATTTTAGTATGCTCTGTGGTTGCGGCTTAGGCTGATCTTCCACATCAGAAAAATTTCCTTGGGATAATTGACATTCTGCATTGGCAGCTATTAAATAGAATTTGTAGCAGAAATGGCAGACGCTTCTTCATCTTCAATTTTGGCAAGAAATGCTGTGACAAATGTTAGATTTGCAGTGGAGATTTTTGATGGCACCGGTCATTTCGGCATGTGGCAAAGCGAGGTTCTAGATGCCCTATTTCAGCAGGGTCTAGACATTGCTATTGAAGGAGAGAAACCAGATGATGTTGAGGAGAAAGAATGGAAGAGGATCAATAGAATGGCATGTGGTACTATTCGATCGTGTCTTTCTAGAGAGCAGAAGTATGCATTTTCTAAGGAAACTTCTGCAAGTAAATTGTGGAAGGCACTGGAGGAGAAATTTTTGAAGAAAAGCGGTCAGAACAAACTCTACATGAAAAAGAGACTGTTCCGCTTCAACTATGTACCAGGTACCACTATGAATGATCACATTACTAGCTTTAATCAGCTGGTGACTGATCTGATGAATATGGACGTGACTTTTGAAGACGAAGATCTGGCTCTGATGTTGATGGGATCACTTCCTGATGAGTTTGAGTATCTTGAAACTACTCTACTTCATGGGAAGGTTGATGTGTCTCTCAGTGAAGTAACTGCTGCCTTGTATAGTTATGAATTGAGAAAGAAAGACAAACAAGAAAACACAAGTGTCGAAGCAGAAGCTCTTGTTGTTAGAGGCCGTTCCAAGAGTCAGAATAAAGGAAGCAGAGGGAGATCGAAGTCAAAGTCCAGATTGAGCAAGATGAATGTGCTTTTTGTCGAGAAAAAGGGCACTGGAAGAAAGAATGTCCCAAGCTAAAGAATAAAGGCAAACCTGAAAGGGGGAAGGCTGTCTCAGAATCAAATGTGGTCGAGTATGATGATGGAGATTCAGATTTCGCATTCGCTGCTACGCCATCAACCAGCTGTTCCAGTTCATGGCTGTTAGATTCAGCTTGTAGCCACCATATGACCCCCAATAGAGAATGGTTCTTTGATTTTAAAGAACTAAAAGGTGGAATTGTCTACACAGCAAATAATTCCCCTCTTGACACACTTGGGATTGGTTCAATTCGCTTGAGGAATCAGGATGGATCAATCAGAACCTTAACAGGTGTCCATTATGTACCAGATTTAATGAGAAATCTCATCTCTGTGGGAACCTTAGAGTCAAAAGGTTTAGAAGTGAGGGCAAAAGATGGGATTATGAGGATTATCTCTGGTGCACTGGTGATAATGAAGGGAATCCGAAAAAGAAACAATGTGTATTACTTTCTGGGTAGTACAATTGTTGGGACAGCAGCAGTGGCAGCTTCTACTGATGAACAGGAGTCAGAAGCAACCAGGTTATGGCATATGCGCTTGGGGCATGTTGGTGAAAAATCCTTGAAATTACTGATAGATCAAGGATTATTGAAGGGTGCTCGGGCTTGCAAATTAGCTTTTTGTGAGCATTGCATCAAAGGGAAGAAGACGAGGGTGAAATTTGGAACAGCAATCCATGATACTAAAGGTATTTTGGATTATGTTCATTCAGATGTATGGGGGCCTTCCAAGACAACTTCATTGGGAGGAACACACTATTATGTCACCTTTGTTGATGATTTTCCCGGAGAGTTGGGTGTATCCAATGAAGACAAAGGATGAGGTGCTAGGATTTTTCCTTAAATGGAAAAAGATGATGGAGACTCAAACAGGAGAAAATCAAACGTCTCCGTACAGACAATGGTGGAGAGTACAAAAATGATCCATTTCTGAAAGTCTGTGAAGAGGAAGGTATTGTTAGGCACTTCACTGTCAGAGGTACACCACAACAGAATGGAGTGGCAGAGCGTATGAACCGGACATTAGTGGAGAAGGTTCGGTGTATGTTGTCTAATGCTGGGTTAGGCAAAGAATTTTGGGCTGAGGCTTTGGTCTATGCTTGTCACCTTGTCAACCGCTTACCATCGACTGCTATTGGTGGTAAAACACCATTAGAGAAATGGTTTGGAGTACCTGCTACAGATTATGATTCCTTACATGTGTTTGGTTCCACTGCATACTACCATGTTAAGGAGTCAAAGCTGGATCCAGAGCAAAGAAGGCGATTTTTATGGGGATCTGGTGTGAAAGGCTATCGTCTTTGGTGTCCAGAAACAAGAAAATAATCTTCAGCAGGGATGTTACCTTTGATGAATCTACCATTTGTGAAAGGTGACTTCAGAAAAATTGGAGCAGACAGATGGAACTCCCAAAAGGTGGAGTTTGAAGGAAGCAAATTTGTCCAACCAGTAAAGAAAATGATGTTGACTCTCCTATGGTAGAAGAAGAGTCAGATGAAGAAGGTTCAGACCCAAGAACCTCCACAGCACATGAATCAATTGCACTCAGAAAGGGAAAGAGACCATGACAACCTGCTCGTATGCGTATGGTCTCTTTTTGCATCACCAATTGCAATGATGACGTTCCTGCCACTTTTAATGAAGCAGTTCAAAGTTCAGAACATAAAAAGTGAGGATTGCCATGAATGAAGATGCAATCCCTTCAAAGAATCAGACGTGGAAACTAGCTAGTCTTCCGAAGGGAAAGAAGGCAATTGGGTGCAAGTGGGTATATGCAAAGAAGATGGATTTCCTGACAAGAATAACATCCGCTACAAAGCAGATTGGTGGCTAAAGGCTACGCTCAAACGGAGGGAGTTGATTAATGAAGTATTTTCTCCAGTTGTAAAACATTCCTCCATCAGAATTTTGTTGGCTTTGGTAGCGCAGTTGGATTTGGAACTAGTTCAGATGGATGTAAAACTGCATTTTTACATGGAGACTTGGATGAGGAAATCTACATGACTCAGCCAGATGGATTCAAAGTTGCTGAAAAAGAAGAGATGGTGTGCAAATTAGAAAAATCGTTGTACGGATTGAGCAATCTCCAAGGCAGTGGTACAAGCGATTGACAAGTTTATGATAGGCAGAAGTACACAAGAAGCAAATATGATCATTGTGTGTATTTACGTGAGCTAGAAGACGGATCCTATATATATCTTCTTTTTATGATGCTGATAGCTTCCAGGAGTCAGACAGAAATTGCGAAACTAAAGACTCAATTGAACAGGGAGTTTGAGATGAAGGATCTTGGTGAAGCGAAGAAGATTCTAGGCATGGAGATATCAAGGGATAAGAATTGGGGAGGCTTTGTTTGTCTCAGAAAGAATATCTGAGGAAGGTACTAAAACGTTTTGGCATAAATGAGATGTCAAACCAGTTAGTACACCTCTTGCTCCTCATTTCAAGCTCGGTGCATCCATGTCACCTAAGGATGATGCAGAACGGGAATACATGTCAAAGGTTCCGTATGCAAGTGCTGTTGGTAGCTTGATGTATGCAATGGTGTGTACGAGACCGATATTTCACAGGCAATTGGGGTTGTGAGCAGTATATGCATGATCCTGAAAGGAGCATTGGCAAGCTGTGAAATGGATTCTGCGGTATATTCTAACACCGTAGATGTTGGTTTGGTCTTTCAGCAGGACAAACAAGATGGTCAGTGTGTAGTTGGGTATTGTGATTCAGACTATGCAGGTGATTTGGACAAGCGTCGATCAACTACTGGTTATGTGTTTACATTTGCAAAGGCACCAGTCATTGGAAGTCCACCTTACAGTCAACAGTGGCTTTGTCTACTACAGAGGCAGAGTATATGGCAGTTACAGAGGCTGTGAAGGAGGCAATTTGGCTTCAAGGGTTGCTTGGTGAATTGGGAATAGAACAAAAGCACATCAAAGTGCACTGTGACAGTCAGAGTGCTATTCATTTAGCAAAGAACCAGGTTTACCATGGGACGAAGCATATTGATGTTCGATATCACTTTGTACGAGATTCTAGAAGAAAGGTGGAGTCATAATCCAGAAGATTCGGACCACTGAGAATCCTGCTGATATTGACAAAAGTGGTAACTGCGGTCAATTTAAACATTGTTTAGATTTGGTCAATATTGTTACAAATTAAAATTGTTTTTTAGATGTGTGTGGAATTTGCCAAGGTGGAGATTTGTTGGTTTTTGGCAAAAGTCCCACATTGGTTGTGTATAGGAGGGGAAATTCTTTTGTTATAAATAAAGCCCTCCTCCTCCTTAGTTAATCATCCCACAATAAGCCTTCTTCTATTTTAAAGGCTATTTGTATTCTTTCTCTCTTTGTAATATTTCCTCTATTAGTGAAATATTTTGGTGTTCTCTTTTATGTCTATTTAATAGCTATTGTCGGGTATAGTTGTTGTCAATTATTGTCCTATTAAAATTACTTGTCTTGGTAGTTCTGTCTAAGGAAAGTGGGTTTTAAGAGGGACCATTGTGACCCCTCCTCTTTCCTGGGAATCTACCTTGGGGTGATTTTTAGTACAATCGTTTTCACACTAGTCACCTAGATAATAGTTTTCACGGTGAATCTGTTATTGGTGGAAATTAACCCGAATTTCACAACAATTCCACCCCTTTAGAAAAATGGGGTCAAACCAAATATTGCGAACTCCATATAAAAACAATCAAAAGTTTACAGACGAAATACTTACATACACACATTCCATCGACGGTTGCTAGCTTCGAGGAAGTGGCCATGGCTAGTGTGAAACCTTGAAGCCTGGCTTTGGTTGTTTTGTGTATGATGAATTTCTCAGAACAAACTTACAAGTTAAACAGCTCAATCATACCGAAATTTAGAAGATCCAATTAAGGTTTAAAGCTGATCAGACCCTACAAATTTTCTAATCTAAACTTCGAAGTTCAAAGTTTTAAGCCCAAATTTGAACTTTGATGTGCCATTTGGAAAAAAAAGATTCCGGGTTTTGGATGTTTAGATCTTCCAATTGGATTAAACTATTTAAATTGTTTTTCCACCTATTTTCGATCAGGAAAGAGTTGGGATATCAGTGGCTGATAGAATCACAACTTCCAACAAGTTTCCATTTTCCTTGATCAGCTTAAAGACACAGACATCTCCCACCTTCAATTCATTGCCTATCACAAATGGTCTCCAACTGTTACCCCCAAACAAAGCTCTTCTATGTTCATTGCTTCTTCTTTCGAACTGAACAGTCCAAGTTCTACCATCTGCAACTCTCAGGATAGTTTCTCCACTCTTCTTCAAATATTTCTTGGCGAATTCCTCCGGTATGTACTGCCAACAAGTGAAATATCTTGATAAGAATGAAGATAGTTTCAGTTCTTAAACAGCAATGTATGTTCATGCAGTACAAGTCCTTCACTGTTTTTAGATATATTTGAGAGATGTATATAGCAGTTCTAATATTCTTTACGTTCAGATATGCTTGACACTCTTACTTCATATGGGGAATGATAAAAAAAATGCCATTTGCAAGACTCGGATTAAGTAAATGGAATAGAGGATTCAACAGAAATCTCACCAGATGAACACCAGAATTAACATATGGTGGGTTCATCAAAACACTGAAAGAGGGATTTGAAGTTCTGAGGTCACTAGTTCCTATACAAGCTCTTTGTTTCTTGGTTGGAGTCGATGGTTTTATCTCTGTCTTTCCCAGAATGTCGGGTTTCAGACGTCTCCGACCACCTTACATCTTTTCACTACCATCTTTTGCAGAATATTTGAGATCACCTGTTAAGATTGAAACAGTTGAGATAGTAGCTTTGGAAGCATAACATAACTTTAATCAAACTAGAGAACATTTCAACCACAAAGATGATCACCCCAAAGTTCTTTTGTTACATATTGAGAACTCATGCTCTTCTTTTCTTTCTCGAGCTTGATCCACTCAGCTTGAATGCTTCCACTTGAGTTAGTTCTCATCGTATTACAAGGATGAAAACATGGAGATTTCAATTTCTTTTTCTGGTTTTGTGTCGAGTCATCCGAGATTTCAACGTAAGAGTCTGTTGGGTCTTTAAATTTACTGGCACTGGATGGACATGGTCTTTGTTGACAAACAGGTTCAGTATCACTGACCATGTTCCTGGTTTTAACTCGATTGGCTATGCTCTCATGAGCTGTTACAACAAAAAGAAGCAATAAAGCATCCACAAAGACTGTCAAGTAGACAAATTGATCATAAAATCAAAGACATATAACAGGTTCTACTCACCCAACGGCCTGCAGACCTTGCTTGCATTTTCGACTACCAGATAGGTGACCACTTTCATTAGGATTTCAGGATGCTTAATTAACTCGAATACACATATATCACCAACACCAAGACGATTATATTCCACAAATGCCTGCCAACCACCATAGAGCTCTGCTTGCAGAATTTTACTTCCTGCGTTCCTACGGTACTTCATAGGCCAAGTTTTCCCAGCTGAGTTGCATAAGGTCAGACTACCCTTTTGCATTGTCAAAAATTCCCTAGCAAAGTCTGAAGGCATACCCTGGAATTCAAGAAGGGAAAAGAAATCCAGAGGATAAAGTGCGACGTTTGTAAATTTAAGCTACTTGGAGTCGGCCAAATGGTGATTTAGAGATTAAACAGGTTCTCGTTTTGAAAGTTACCATTCTATAACGATTGCCCAAGAATGATGGTTTCATTACGACAATGAAAAATGGGTTTCCAGTACTTTTCCAAGAACTAGCTATCTGAACAGCGTGTGCCTTTTCAGTGGCTGCCAACTGTTGCAGAAAACTGAATGCCTCAGTTTTCACACTTCTCTCAGTCTCAGCTGTAATTACAAAAATAAAAGATGACGAGATTTTTGGCATCTCCAAAGTAACCCACTGCAAAAATTGAAATATAAAATGCATACCATCAAGTTGTCCTGGTGATTTTTCATCTTTCTTGAGATTTCCATTGATCCTGCTAGGCTTTGATTCATCAGGACTAATGCCAGAAGATAAAATCTCTAAATTCAAATAGTTTCCCGGTTGAGTAGGTGAACATGTTTTCAATTTCTTTTGAGGCAGAGGACACGGCAAATGTGATTTCTCTTTATTTTTCCTACTCACTGAAACATCATCAAAAAGGTAGACAAACATGTCATCATCTTCATTCCTAGTGTATGGATCAACCTAGGGAGCACTCTTATAAAAATTTTAAGTTTACGGGCAAGGGGAGTATTATATTTAATTTATGTACTAACCTAATCTCAGTGAAGACCGACTTGCAATATCAGCATCTTTTTGTTTCCTGGTTGAAGTTATTGGTTGCATCTTGCCCAAAAGATCAGGTTTCAGACATTGCAAAGCACCTGATTCCCCTCCGTTTTCATGCTTTGCTGAATATTTAAATTTACCTGTAAAGTTTGGAACTTTCAAGGCAATAAATTCCTAGTTCTAACTCGACAGGACATGATCTTATGAACTGCTAAAAAATGAAATGATAAGAAGAAACAAAGCATCTCCATAGATCGTCATATAAAAAAAACTTATCATTAATCAATGACCATGTAACAGGTCCTACTTACCCTGCTGTCTGGAAGCCTTGATAGCATTTTCAACAACCGGGTAAATGAACACTTTCATTAAGATTTCAGGGTGCTTAATTAACTCAAAGACACAGATATCACCAACTTTAAGATGATTATCTTCCACAAATGCCCGCCAGCCTCCATAAAGGAGTGCTGTCCCATTTTTTTTTCCTGCATTACTATAGTACCGCATAGACCAAGTTTTCCCAGCAGAATTGCATAAGGTCAGGTTACACTTGTGCCCTGTCAAAAACTTCATGGCAAAGTCCGATGGTATAACCTGGTATTCAAGAAGGGCAAACAGAAACCAGAATATGAAACGTTTTCAGTCCAAACAAAGATTAAATAGTTCATGACTTTGGGCAAAAAGCCAACTTTGAGGTTATCCAAATTCTCGTTTTGTATATTACCATTTGATAGTTATAAGAAACAGAATATGGTCGCAGGACCACCATGAAAACTGGATTTGCAGTACTGATTTTGAAAGCACTAGCTACCCGAATTGCACGTGCCTTTTCGGGGTCTGCCAACTTTTGCGAACAGCTTAAAAAGTCAGTTCTCACACTTTGACGAGCTGAAATTATTGATGAAGTCGGAAATCACAGTAAGCAACAAATTCAGGAGGAAAACGAAAAAAATGAGACAAACTTCTCAAAAATATCACTGCAAAGATTGAAATAAATAATGCATACCATCAACTTTTCCTGCAGAACTACGTGGGTTTTCATTTTTCTCGAGATTTTCAAGATTGATCTTACTAGACTTGGAGTGATCAGAGCTGATGCAAGAAGATAAAATATCCAACTCCGAATGTCTTCCAGGTTGATTAGGTGAATCAGTCCTCAATTTCTTCTGAGGTAGAGGGCAAGGCAAATGTGATTTCTCTTTTCTTTCCCTACTCACTGAAACATCATCAAAAGGTTGAGAAACATATCGTCAGCCTCTTTATTGCTAGTATATGGATGGGAGCTATGAAGCACTCGTATAAGAATGAGTATATTTAACTTTTATACTCACCTAATCTCGAAGAAGACCTACTTGCACTATCAGAAACTGAAAAAATGGTAACTTCCAATAAATTTTCATTTTTCTTCATCAGTTCAAAGACACATAAGTCTCCAACTTTCAAGTTATTGTCCAGCACGAATGCTCTCCATGTATTTTCAAGAAATTTGGCTTTTACAAGTGTACCAGTTTCATTTCTCCTGTAGTTCATAATCCAAGTCCTCCCATCTGAAACTTTCAGGGTGATTTCCCCGCTTTTCTTGAAATATCTCTTGGCAAATTGGCATGGTATGTTCTGCCAAAAGAAAAAAGTTCAAATGAATTTTTAGTTCTTAATCAGAAAAGTATATTCATATAAACTTCTTTTCTATTTGCTAAGCTTTAATTTTATTTTGAAATAAACAGATGAGTTAATAAGAGCTTTTGACCCAAATTCTTACCAAAGAACTGCGAGTAAGAACATACGATGGCCCCATCACAACATTGAAAGATGGATTTGCAGATTTGAAAGCAGTAGCTTGTATACAAGCTCTTTGTTTATCTGTAGTCGGTGGTTCCATCTTGCCCATAAGTTCAGGTCGCGGATACCCCAAAGCACCTGATTTCCCTCCATTATCATGTTTTGCTGACCATTTGGATTTACATGCTGAAGATCAAAACTTTTTAAGACAATAGCTTTGGAAACAAACCATTACTTACTCAAAATAAATAACATTTGAACAAAATGATTCTCACCCTGAAATTCTCTTCTTAAATTTTGGAAATCCATGCTCTTCTTATGTTTCTCGAGCTTTGGGTCTTTACCTTCTACCGAGTTGGAGGGACACCGAGCTTGTTGACAATCAAGTTTAGTTTCACTGATCGAGCTCCTTGTTCTAACTCCACAGCCTACTCCCTTATGAGCTGTTACAAAATGAAATGATAAGAAATAAAACATCTCTATAGATTGTCATGGAAACAAACTGATCAATCAATGGCATATATAGCAGGTTCTTCTCACCTTGTGGCATGTAGGCCTTGTTTGCATTTTTTACGACCGGATGGATTTCCACTTTCATTAAGATTTCAGGGCGCTTAATTAGCTCGAAAACACATATGTCACCAACATCAAGACGGTTATCTTCTACAAATGCCCGCCAACCACTATGGAGTTGTGCATGCATATTTTTATTTTCTGGATAGCTATGGTACTTCATGGGCCAAGTTTTCCCAGTGGAGTCGACTATGTTCAGATTACCATTGTGCTTTGTGAAAAATTTCCCGGCAAAGTTTGATGGTATAGCCTGGAATCCAAAAAAGGAAAAGAAACCAGAATATGACACATTTTCACTCCAAACAAATCATAAGCAGTTCACAACTTTGGCTCAACAAATGACGATATGTTACCATAGTATATTTATAACGAACAGACGATGGTCGCATGAACACCATGAAAACTGGATTTTCAGTACTTTTGAGAGCAGCAGCTATCTGGATTGCCTGAGCCTTTTCAGTGGTTGTCAACTTTTGGGAACACATTGAAACCATTTTAACCCTTTGGCAAACTGAAATCCCCCCAACTCCTGTCATAGATGGAGGAAATCATATTAAGCAACAAAATCAGAAGGCAGAAAAAAATGGCATGAACATCTCAAGAACAAACACTGCTGAAATTGAAATAAATAATGCAGACCATCAACTTTTTGTTTAAAACTACATGATATTTCATTTTTCCTGAGATTACCAAGCTTAATCTTTGCAGATTTAAGGTCATCAAGGGTAATTTGCGATGATAAATCCTCTAACTTCGAATCAGTCCCAGTTTTATATGGTGAATCAGTTCTCATTTTCTTTTGAAGGAGTGGACATGGCAAGTCTGATTTCTCTTTCCTTTTCCTACTGTCCGAAACATCATCACCGTCGTCTTCCGATCTAGCGTAGGCATATTCGATCTCCGAAGCACTTCTATCAAAAATTAACACATGGAAATGACCATTCCCTTCGTATCGGAAAACCAAAAAAGACCCAATATCCAATGAGTAATGCTCTGCAAATTCTCTCCAACCCTTTTGCAACCGCACCCTTCCATCACTCTTTGTAAGTTCCACGTGCCATATTGCACCACTTGGGACCTCAAGCTTAACAGTACTTGGCAGTTGGTTTCCATATTTTCTTACAAAACTTCTAGGAATCCCCTGATAATGACCGTATACAGACATGGTCATCTATTGAAATATCAAGAAGGAAACTGATTAAAAAGTAGAAAATCGAAATGGAGAAAAAGAAGGAATACTTACAAGCATCTCGGATCGAATAGTATCCTGAAGGATTACTTTGAAAAAATGAGGAGTTTTGGAAGTAAACATGGAATGATTGTTGTCTCTACGATGATGAGAAGTCATATTGGAAACCAGTGGAAGAGTATGTTCAATTATTTCCTACATGAACAAACACTTTAGGAGACAGCATCAGTGCTTACTTTCTCCTCCATAATTTCTTTAAAAATAAATAGTAAACAAAAGGAAAATTAATAGAATGTAAAATCAGCTGCATCATTTTCTGCAGAAAAATACTTGTTTTCATAGCAACACAGCATATACGAATAAGAAAGATAAAAGGAACCCAAAGGCTGAAGACAATGAGTCGATGACTGTACCTTAGTTTCAACGAAGCCGAAAGCAGTCTAAATATTACCGTGCGTAGCTTCCCCTTACTATTCTCCTTTCCCTTCTGTTCCACAAACATGAAGCAATAACAAAATAAAATTTGCTGAGTTTCTTGAACCAGATATCAACAACATCAAGGTTCTGCTATTGAATGTTAACAAAAACTGGGATTGCTGATGACGGAACCGCCTTAACAAAAACTGGGGAATTGGCAGCAATTAATACAATTTTAATTTAGTGGGTAGCTATTCAATGTTGATTTATTGTTTGTAGGATTTTAGAAACTAAAAGATCGATTCATTAATGACCAGAA